CTATTGCCTTTTTACTTATAAAACAGGTAATACCTGCCCTTTAAAATAAAACCTAACCACAGTTGAATGTAATTCATATAATTTACTCAAAAACTCATTCAACATCTGGGATATTTCATACCTGACTTCTCTAGACACAGGACAAATATTTTCACATAGTATATATTTAATAAATAGAATTTGAAATAATTCAAGTTTGAATTATATTACATATAAGAAAATAAAATGTTTTATGAAAAAATTTAAATATGCTCACAGTAACATTTTATTTGGAGAAAAATGTATTTAATATAATCTATTATTAATATAATAATGCTAAGTCATATATATTAATATACTTCATTAACACATGTATTTATTTCTTTAAGTACATTCTGCAAGACATAATTAATACACACTACTTAGTCTAATTACAACTAATAAGTCTAAAAAGTAGTATTTTGTTAAGATTAAACCAAAATTTTCATGTATTTATTTGATGACAGGATAGATTTCTGTTACTTAAATAAAAATGAATGTTCATGCACCTCAAGAGACGTAAGACTTCCATATAAAATGGCAATTCATTAATTGCCATCTATGTACATTAGCACCTCATATTTGTTGGAGTATTTACTGTTGATTTCTATATGGGACAACTGGTACTGCATTGGTAGCTTAGAAAGGGTATCCTTCATTCATTGAGTGCAAGCTAAAATGACTTTTACTAGGTATAAGCTAAGGGGTTACATTTAAAAAGTACCGAAAGATTGCTCTGGCCAGTGTGGCTCAGTGAATTGAGTGCCCACCTGCAAATCAAAGGGTCACAGGTTCAATTCACATTCCTGGGTTGCAGCCCAGGTAGGGGACGCTCAAGAGACAACCACACATTGATGTTTCTCTTCCTCTCTTCTCTCTCTCTTCTCCTTTCTAAAAACAACTAAATAAAATCTGTTTAAAAAAAAGATAAAAGTAAAAGATATATATCAAAAGGAAAAAAGATAACTGATACTTTCTTTTCTGAAAAAGTAGTAAAGTATTGAGGAGAAATCGGTAGAGCATATCACAGCCCAAACCAGTCAGTTACCACTAATCCAGACATAGGCTGTAGCAGACCCAGCCCTGAAATAGAGGAGCACTTTTCTTATTTCATTCATAGACAGACTATTCAAATAATTTCTGAAAGGAACGTGCTGTACAACACATTGTAGTCCAATGACAGACAACATATAGGTTCAAGAAAGTATTACTTTTTTTACAGTTTAACACCATTTATTATTTATTCAAGTTTGATTTCCTTGTAATCCCTCCCTGTTGCATATTAATGTCCAAAAATAGAATGCAATGACATTACACAGAAGTATGTTCTGCAGTGGTTCTCAGTTCATCAGTCCTGCAGCTTTAGATCTTAGAGCAGGAGCTAACAAAATCTAACTTATTCTGTGTTCATAAAAGAAGGCCCAACAGTGGTTTGGGGAATGATGCCACAGGAATATTCAGCATTCCGTAGAGATGAATAAGGCAAAAGGAAGTGAGAGCAAGAAAAGGAGGCTCCAATGAAAATTCCACACTACAAAATGAGGCTAATATGCCCATAGTAAAGAAAACACACATTTTGAAAAGGGCATACTGACAATTCAGGTGAAATAAAATTTGTATAGCATATGCTTCATGTTTTCAATAAAATACATAAGTATATAAATTTTATGCAATGATAAAAGATAAAATGATATCAGTGGACTCAGGAAAAGAAGGAACCGGATAAATAAGTAAAATAAAGGGGAGTTTGATAAGATCAAAAGAGAAGGTAAGAAAAAGGAGAGAAAGAACTCATGGACATAGACAACAGTGTGGTTATTGTGGGAAGGAGGGGGATGGGTGAAGGTGGAGAGGGCTTGAGAGGATAAATGGTGATGGGAAAATACAAGAAAATAAAAATAATGAATTCATTAAAAAAGAAAAGAAGATAACATGATAAATTATACAACAACCAAATAAAGATGACATTAGAAAGAAAATAACAGAATATACACTGTGGAAAGTAAAATCAGCAATGCAGAGGACAAGTTGGAGATTATTTCTTACATTAAAGGGGAAAAAGACAGAAAATAATAGATTCTGGAGCAACAAGTGATCATGCAACATAGAAAGATAAAACAAAAAAGAAAACTGGGGAATGTTATTTATAAATATACATGCATTATTCCCAGATAGAATATATAAATTTCACTTGATAATGGACTACTATTCTCTTATCGACCATAATAAGAGAATAGTAGTCCATTATCAAGTGAAATTTATTCCTGTAATAATCATAGTTCAACATTAAGAAATTTACTAGTATAAATATAATCTATTATATCAATATAGAGAAATATTATTTTAACATCTTGAGATCTAATAATAAAACATAGTGAAGACTATGTATGAGATATAATTGTTCATAATCTAACTAATTTTAATTCTCCCAAAAAGCTTATGCTAGTTACTTATCATTTGCCTGTTAAGGAAATCGAGACAAAGACATTAAGAGACTAAGCAAGTTCACCTAGCTAGTAAGTGACATCTGTGATGTAAAGATGTAGTTTTTGTCATTATTTAAAAAGTAGGTATTCATATTTATGCATGTGTATAATATGTGTGGTCTTATATATAAATAGGCAAAAATCATACTTAAAATCTGAAAGATAAATTACTAACTGTACGGCTGTAGATCTACATTCTAAAAAATGGAAGGAACACTACCAAATTATTCAGGAAGTTACTTCTGACTAATCAGTTTAATGATGATTTTTATATTATCTTTCCTGCTTTTCAGTATTTATGTGCAATATTCAGATTAACAAATGTACATACTATGGAAGTTATCTGCATAAAATATATAACATCTAAATAATAACATTATTTATTATTTGAGAACTATAAAAGTTATCAAAATAAAGGTTTCTGAAGCCATTCAGTACTAACTTTTTTCCAGACAAGTCCTACTGTAATAAACAATGATTAAAATGGGAAAAATATATTAAGTAATTGTTTTCAGAAAATATTTTCTTAAAAAAGAGGCAAGACAAAACTGAGATATATGAAAAGATGGGAATAAAGAGATCTCCATAGGAGTCCTATTCTCTGCCTTAAGACAATTTCCTTGCCAGGGCCATGAAGCTCCAGCAGACAGAATGTGGAGATCCCACTGAGTTCAGGAGGCAGAGTACCGGGCAACTGAAGTCATCAGAATCTCTCCTTGAGTCTGGTTAACGGAAACAAAAGAAGTGTGACTCTAGAAGTTTGAATGGGCTTCTCCATGAACCTTTCTTTTTTTTAATTTTATTTAGTTATTTTTCAAGTACAGTTTTTTGTCTATTTATCCCATTCCAGCCCCCCCAGTGCTCCCCACCTCCCTCCCATTTCCTACCCCGTAGTCCTCATCCCTGTGTCTTTCATACTTGTTCCTCCAGATCCCTCCCCCTTAAATTCCATGAACCTTTCTTCAAGGCTAGTCAGTTCTCTTATTCACACTGGAAAACCAGCACTTACAATAGCAGCTTAAGGAGCTACCAGCAGAACAGAGAAGAGGTGCTCAGAGTCCTGGAAGAAGAGCATTAGGGAATTTTGAAGTTTAAGGCACTTAATGTTTTTAATAGTTCATTTGTTATTGTATTTTCTATTACCATATATCCCCCATACCCTCTTCTACCTGCACCCACCCTCCTCCCCTCCCCAGCCTCCCCACACTGCTCTCCCTGTCCCTTTTTCATCAATCCCTCCACCCTCCCACCCCAACCTGTCAGCCTGCTCTCTGTCTGTGAATCTGTCTCTATCTGTTTGTTAGTTCGGTTTGTTCAGTAGATTCCACATATGAGTGCAATCATATGGTATTTGTCTTTCTCTAACTGGCTTCTCACTTAGCACAATGTTCTCCAGGTCCATCCATACTGTCACAAAGGGTAAAATTTTTCTTCTACGTGAAGTTTAAGCCATTTAGAATAAAGGATGACATAAATAATACTGGTACAGGAAGAAAACCAGAAGGCTGTTTCATTGTAGTTGGAACTATGCCCTGGAGATGTGTTCTCTAATGGGGTTAATACTCAATACTTCATAGGATTGTTGAGAGGATTAATTTTTCATCTGAATTGTTTAACACATACATTATTATTAGCACCTTCATTACTGTCCTACTATGAGCAGGACATGAAATTATCAAATAGACATATATCAAATTATGAGACGAGGCTATTTTTCTTTTGATTTTAAAATGTATAAAAGAAAAATGAGATTTGGGTAAAGTAAACTTCAAAACAGATGCAAACTGATAATATAAGACAACAGGACTACAGTCAGATTTTGGCAAGTCAATCAAGTCAGAATGTGATGACAGGCTATAGTAGTTTCCTATTACTACTGAAACAAAAGGTCACCACAAACTGTGGCTTAAAAAACCACAAATTTGTTATCTTACAGTTTCAGAGGGCAAAAATTTAAAATGAGAAAATGATCATAATGGGGTTAAATCAAGGTGTTGGTAGGGCTGGTTTCCTCTGAAAGCACCATCTGCTTCCTTGCCCTTTCTGGCTTCCAGAGGCCACCTGTGTTCAGCTTGCAGATCCTCCCTCCAGGTTCAAATACAGCTGCAGCGTGTCTTCTTTATTTCACATGAACTTTTCTCAGGTATCACATTCTCCTTGGCCTCCATCCTAACATGTTATATGTGATTACATTTAGGATGTAACCAGATGATCTAGAATAATCTCGCCATCCAAGATCCTTAACTTAATCACAGTGGCAAAGCCTTTTTTGTCATATACGGTAACCTTTACAGGTTTTAAGGATTAGGAAGCCATCATTTTGGAGCTCTGTGGCACAGCTGAAGGTCGTAGGAGCAACATTGGAAAAAGAGGGGAATAGAGGAAGAGAAACTAGAATGTTCTGAAAACATTTAATTGCTAAAAGTGTTTGGTCCTAGAGAAGTACATTTAAAGCAAAAATGGTTATACAAATTAAAATGTGATTGTTATTTTTAGGTGTTTTAAATGTTTATCTACGTTTGAAAGGGCAGACAACAATAGAGAATCCACTGTGGTCTTCAAGCGGGAATAAAGGACAACGATGGAATGAGGCTCATGTTAATATATATCCAATTACTTCATTTCAGGTAAGAAAACATCATTTCCTCCAATAGATTGCTGTTTGCATGTGAGCATAGGGTTAAAGGCAGAACTTCAACAAATACTGGAATATAAATATTCAGAAATTCTGTGATATAATCATCACAACAGTAAGATGATTAAGGTTATCTTTTGTTGTAAAAGCTGTTTCATAAAGAGAAAATGCCCTTTTCCTCTATTGATTAACATCTAGGAAGTAATGTGTTTGAATAATAGTCTATCAAATGATTTGCCTGGAGAAAATGTAATCTATTTCTCTAAAACCACTGTTGTATATTTTGTTCCCTGAAGACAAATAAAATAGGTTCTTATAATAATGAAAGCTGAATAATCAATTCTCAATTAATCTGTTTGAATTTTACTTAATGTGATTTTATTTCCTTTTGCAAAACGTGTCTCTTTGAGGCAATGTCATTTTAGTAATTTATCACAAAGTCAGAGAACTTTAACAGGTTATTTTTCTTTGTTTTTATATAGAAAAGAAGTAATGCTTAGATTCAATTGAGAGTTGGCTACAAATATATAACTTGTAATGCCTAGAACAATGGCCATGATGGCTAGAAACAATATTTTTGAAACTACTGCAGTGGAGAAAATAATGTGGTTTTAGTGACTTTTAATAACTATATCTGTATATTACTTACTTAGGTTAAAAATTTTCTCCACTGCTAATTTTTGGATGAATTCCATGGTATAAACTGTAAGGATATGGAAAATCTGAAAGCTCCAATTATGCCATTTTTTTGGTGAAATGTCTTTTTTCTTATAATCTAATCTATAAAATTCTAATGGCTTTTGTTTGGAAATTGCACTTCTAAATCTATCCATAATGATAAAAATGCATACAGTTGTTTACAATGGTAAAAAATAATGCAGTAAGACTAGCTGATTATCTATAAACACACACAAAAAGCTGCTGGAACCATAAATCCTAGGAATCATTTTGTTTCTATGACAGAGAATACAATTGTGAAAATTAAATCTGTGGCAATATATCATGAAATCAAATTGAACTGCGGAGACTGAACTCCAGAGTGTTACTCATAAAAGTAACTTAAAGTGTACATACCTATATAGGCATCAAGTACCCCTTCTTTTTAAAAAGTTGGTGTTCTTCCAAACATATTTTTGCTTCCCACATGAGTGCCTTGTTAACATAAAATTTATTAATCAAATATGGGTACTGTTAGTTATTTAAGAGAATAGTTCATGTTTCCTTCAGGATAACCCTTTATTGACATAGACATGAATGTAATAGCTATTTATTGAGTATTATCAGGACAATATTGTGACAATATTATCATTTCTTGTCATTGCCAACAGTTCAATTAATTCTTATTCAGCTACTACTCTTTGTCAGGTACACTGCTCTGCATAAAGATTTAAAAATTATTGTTTACCTCAGAATGATGGAAACACACACATCTACACATGTACCTCACATGCTGCAATCACTGAGTCAACAGACACATGCATGTAGCTCCATGAGCACACCAACCAAAACAATGATGGGGGAAAGTCAAGAAAAACTGACTGTAGGAGGTGAAACCTGAACTGTAGAGAGAGATTGCAAATAAGAGAAAGGGCTAGCATTAATATTGCAGTAGAGTTAGTATAGAGTTAGTATAGAGTTAGTATTGAGTTACTATACCTAGTAAACAAAGGTATTGAGATTATATAACACAGGACTGGCCAGAGAAACAGAAACATCTTTACCTGGAATTCGGTTCCCCAAAATAGATCAAAGACTTGTGTGAGATGAGGTGTAGGGGCCTGAGGAGTGTGGGCAATGAGCAGCATTGACAGATTTCACTCAGGGGATGACCCGCTACATCCCTGAGGTTGTTGTGTGAAAGACAAGGAGGGAAAATTTGCTGGAAAACCAAGTAGGATGCCATAAAAGATGTTAAGGGGAAAATCTAAGGAAGTGGTTTAAAGAAAAGTAGACGATTTTTAAATTATGTTTGTAAAAACCAGCAGAATGTTTTCTATGTTGGGAATTTGAGAAGTAGCCACAAATGACTGAGACCTTTCCAACAAGGGGCTATGGGGTAATACTTGGACTACATGTTACTTTCAACCACAAAAGAGGAAAAGAGACAAGCTTTAGAGAGGAATATGGTTGCTTCTATCTTGCGCATGTTAATATAAAGCCCCTGTGGAATACCCTTTGAGAGATGGGCAGAACGTGTTGTGTGCGGGTGCTGCCTAAAATAGAGGGGTGGCTGATGTTCCCGAGGAAGAGTGCACGTGTGTGGACACTGGTTAAAGGACAGACCATGCGGAACACTAAGTGATCCTTAACAGGAACTGTGGAACAGGAGTTTGGTTCTGTTGTATTTTTTAGAGTTAAAGGGAAGGAGATCCAGGAAAGTATGCTGCCCACAGCATTTAAAGACAGTGGTACTCAAATTGGAAAGCAGGTTGAATCCAGGGGACTAGTCCTTACAGAGAGTATCCACTCAAGAAATTTAAATAAAGTGGTAAAGAGATTAGGGAAAACTACCATCTTAACTGCATTATTGATTTTTTTCAGAATTACTAGGATGACCTGCAGCCAGATATTAAATTATGAGTGTACATAGTTATTTTGTTATATCATTTTTCACAGTAGAAAAGGTATCGATTTTGCTTTATTATTTTTTTTGAGTGAGTGAAACCTTTATTCATGATGTTGCAACAGGGAGAATACTGAAGGGAATGTGTCCCTCCATATAAGCAGTGACAGGGGTTTCACAGAAGGAAAAGACAAAAAGCAGAGTGCCAGCTCCCTGTTTGATGGTGCAATCTTAGAGAAAGTAATTGCTTTTCTTTCTGACTCGACCATTTTTCGTCCACTGCATCCTGTTCCCAGACCTCAAATTTAAAAAGGGATTCAAGATGTGAGTCAGTCTTTTGTTACCAGGAAGCATGTGGTCAGTGTAAATCCAAAGCAAAACATTTTACTGCTCACTACAAGTGGCAAGTTTTCCATAGCCTCCACATTTACATATTAAATTCACAAAAAAGAGATTTACAAAAATGTTCAAAGCAGATGTTCAGAATGTTCAGATGAAGAAAGCTTTATTCACAATAGGTCAGACCTTAGAGAACTTCCCTGTAATCAGCTCTTCTCATTCCAACTGAGAAATCAGACTGGGTTTGCATACTTGGTGTGCAAAGCTCTTATTATTTCTGGTGCTTTTTGTTCCTTTTTGTAGATCCATGTTTCCATCTGGTATCAATTTTATTTTGCCTGAAGGACTTCATTTAATAGATATTGTAGAGTGGATTTGCTAAACATGAATTCTTTTCACCTTTTGAACTTCTGAAAAAGTCTGCTTCACCTTTATTTTTTCAAAGACATTTCCTCTGAGTACATAGTTAGTATTCTGATGTTTCTTTTTGAAACTTTAAGGATGCTGTTCTGCTGCTTTTGTTTCCATTGTTTCCAAAGATAAATTTGCTGACACTCTTAGATTTAGTCTTTTATATGTAATGTGACATTTTTCCCATTGCTTTTGAGATCTTCTTTTATCACTCAGTTTGAGCAGTTTGACTGTAGCGTGCTTTTGTGTAGATTTTGTCATTTTTCATGCACTTGGGTTTCACGGAAATTCTTGAATCTGTGGGTTTATAGTTTTGATGAAACATAAGGATTTTCCGACTAGTGTTTTAAAAGTGTTTTGCCCCTCTCCTTTCCTTTGAAAACTACAATTACGCATATGCTTATATGAGGAAGGACCAAAAAAAAAAGGAATTTATTTATAAAAAATTGTGTGCTTATTCTTACATGTTTAAACTTCAGTTACCTTCAAAGTACTCTCCATTGCATGCAATACACCTGTTCAGACAGTTTTTCCCACTGCTCAAAACAGTTTTTTACCTCATCAGTTTTGATGCCTTTTAGTGCTCCTGCATTTTTTGTTTTACCTCTTCCTCGTCAACAAAATGGTTCCCTTTGAGAACTTTTTTTCATCCAGGGAAACAACAACAACAACAAAGTCTCTCAGGGTGAGCTCAGGTAAATAGGGAGGGTGACATGGGATCATGCCGTTTTTGGTCAAAGACTGCTGAACACAGCATGGTGTGGGCAGGTGCACACGTACATCACCCATCATGAAATGGGCAAATGCATTGTAAGAGTCTGCAAAAAAAAAATCACTGGGGCTAAATGCCACTTCTCACAACAGTGCCAGCTGGTACACTGATACAGATGGGTTCCTAAAACCCTGACCTATCAGGGGAAGACTATACTGCAAGGATCCCACCCTCCAGAAGATAATTCCAGATTTTGGGGGATCCTTCTCATATAAGGCGCCTTAAGGGTGTTACAGAGCTCATTAAGGCTTCAAAATTTTTAATTTTTTTCTATTTGTGTTTCATTTTTAATATTTTTTTCTGTCTTCACATTCATTAGTTATATCTTTTGAAATATCTAATCTGCCTTCAATACTATTTAGTGTATTTTTCATCTCAGCTATTGTACTTTTCATCCCTGTGAACTCAATTTGAGTCTTTAAACAATGTTTCTCATGTCTCTAGTTAATGTATTAAACATATAGAGTCAAATTATAGTGATTGTTTTAGTGTCATATGTCAGTTCATCTATGTCAGTTCTTGGTTGGTTTTGATTGTATATTTTTCCTCCACATTACAAGTCATTGTATTCCTGTTTCTTTGCATGTCTGGTAGTCTAATTGGATGTCAGACACTGTGAACTTTACATTGATAGGTATAAATACTTTTATGTAAATATTCTTTAGCTTTTGGGGGATGTTAAGTTACTAGGGAAGAGTTTATCATTATTGGTCTTGCCTTTAAGATTTCTTTGGTGACTTAGTAAATGTACTTCTAGGTATATATTGAAAAAAATCCAAAACACTAATCTGAAAGACTATAATCAGCCTTGTGTTTACTGCAGTGCTATTTATAATAGCAAAGATACAGAAGCAACATTAGCGCATATCAGTATATGACTGGATAAAGAAACAGTGTTACATATATA